TTTGATGACAAATTTACGACTTATGTTAGAAATTACTCTAAAATTTTCAAACAAGTTTGTATTGCAGCTAAATCTAATTTTATAAATAAACAAATTAATCAGTCCTCTGACAAAATTAAGACCATCTGGGGAATTATAAACAAAGAAACTGGACGGTCTGAAAAAGCCTGCAATCAATTCTCATTAAATTATGACAATAAGTTAATAACAGCAACAAAAGATATAGTTCATATTTTTCAAGATTTTTTTGCTAATATTCCGATTGATATTACATCTTCTCTAGACTCATCTCCAATTCGAGCAAAAACATTACTGGAGGCTAATGTCAGCCCTTGCTCTTTAACATTTAAATTTTCACATGTCAGCCCTTTTCATGTCATAAAAATATTCAAACAGTTAAATTTAAAAAATACGGAAGATCTCTGGGACATGTCAGTTAAAGTAGTTAGTTCATTCATAGATATTGTTGCTCCTTATCTAGCTACTATTTTCAATAAATGTGTTGATAATGGCGTGTTTCCTCAATTAATGAAATTTAGCAAATTAATTCCACTCTTCAAATCTGGAGATAGATTTGAGCTAGGCAACTATAGACCAATTTCTATTTTGCCAGTTCTAAGTAAAGTATTTGAAAAGATTATGTTTAACCAAATGTTAAAATACTTCAGGGATAACGGACTGCTTCACAGTCAGCAATATGGTTTCACTGCCGGCAAGTCTACTACTGATGCAGGTGTAGCGCTTATTACACATATATTCGAATCATGGGAAAACTCACAGGATGCTCTCGGCGTTTTTTGTGACTTGTCGAAGGCGTTTGATTGCGTAGATCATGAAACACTTTTGTACAAGCTCAAATATTATGGTATTAGAGATAATGACCTAAGTCTAATGAAAACTTATCTAGAGGATAGGGTGCAAACTGTAGATATTGATGGTGTAAAGTCTAAGGGAACTAATATAAAAATGGGCGTTCCTCAAGGTTCAATATTAGGCCCACTTCTCTTTTTAATTTATATAAATGACCTTCCCTACATGGTAGAGAAAGTTGCAGATATAGTGTTATTTGCGGATGATACTTCGTTAGTGTTTAAAATTGGTCGCCAATGTAATCAATTAGACGATGTAAATTATGCTATCTCTGCTATACTAAATTGGTTCACATGTAATAATCTATTATTGAACTCCAACAAAACTAAGTGCATTAAATTCACGCTGCCTAATGTAAAACAAGTAAATACGCAGCTATTGCTTAATGATGAAATAGTAAATTTTGTTAATGATCGTTTTTTTAGGAATAACAGTGGACTCGAAGTTACAATGGGGGCCCCATATTTCAAAATTAGCCAGTAGACTTAGTTCTGCTGCTTATGCAATTAGAAGGATAAGGCAATTAACAGACGTGGCGACGGCAAAACTTGTATATTTTAGTTATTTCCATAGCATTATGTCATATGGCATACTGCTATGGGGTAAAGCTGCCGATATAAATACTATATTTATTTTACAAAAGAGAGCCATACGTTCTATTTATGGTATGGGTTCTAGAGAGTCATTACGTCAATGCTTTAAACAATCAAATATCCTCACCGTTGCCTCACAGTACATTTATGAAAATATTATGTATACAAGAAAAAACTTAGATAGTTTCAAGAAACTTAAAGACTGTACAAGTAGAAACTTACGCAATAAAAATAAGCTAATTTTACCTAAATGCCGTCTACACAAAGTTAGTAATTCATTTTATGGTAATTGCGTAAGATTCTATAATAAACTGCCAGAGTCTACGCTAAATCTTACAGAGAGGCAATTCAAATCTTATATTAAACAAATGTTATGTAAAAAAGCCTATTATAAGATAGATGAATTTATAGATGATAGCAATATATAGCAAGAATAAGTTTATTTGCGGACAACGTTATAATTTTAATTTTCATACTGCTTTCTTGATATATGATAGCGTAGCGGCTTTTGTATTGATTGCCGCATGCATCCTTATGTAAAGTGCGAATACTGTAACTACCATATAGTAATTTTTGTAGCTGTGACGTGGTCGTGTGGAATGAGTAGTCATGCTCACTAAAATGTCCAGACATGTGGCGGCGTGGTGGGCCGGGTCAATGGGCTCCCTAAAATATGGTCGAGCGCAGTGATGGCTGGCTCATCCGTCATACTCGTGAACGAGTGCTGCTTGTAGGGACTGGTCTGCTCTTATCACTACGACTGATTAAATCTTATTGCATGATTATATTTGACCCAAAAAATTAGTGCTTGTTGGTAGTTTGTATTCACACGTTTCGACTTGTAAATGTAAACTTACAAGGATTATTTAAAAGAGCAACACACAAGTTTCTTGCTCGTTCTTCTTGTGATGAGACAGCTTTCCGAACGAGTGGTAGATAAAAAACAAATTGTTGTGACTATTCAAAAGTGCTTAAATTAAGTTTATTTGAATAAATGATTTTCTATTCTATTCTATTCTATTCTGAAGAGCTCTTTTCTTGAAGGTTTCAATATCGTATCGGTTCGGAAATACCACTGCTGGAAGGTGATTCCACAATGTGGTTGTGCGAGGCAAAAAGTTTCTAGAAAGTCGCACTGTGAAGGACCGCCATTCATTCAGATGATCAGGTTCGTATTTAGTTTCTGGCATACCAGCTGACTCACGCAACTTCGTCTGCGTCACACTTACTTGACATTTATCATTACATTACATTTCGCTCAATTTAGATACTATCTTTTTAAATCATAGCCTATGTGTTTGATGTATAAGCTATATTATTGTAAAGTTTCATTAAAATCTGTTCGGTAGTTTTTGCGTGAAAGAGTAACAAACATCCATACTCACAAACTTTTACGTTTATAATATTAGTGAGATATGATCAAATGAAGGCAGGTGGGCCGCTTGATTATCATTTCCAACTAGTTATTTACGAGGAAATCAAAACATTATTATATTTTTAAAACATCATGCACCTTTAAAGTGGAGATAACGAGATACGGTACTGATAATACGAACACGTCGTCGTTTGGTATGATACGAATGTTAGTAATTGGGGTGCCAATACTACATATACCAGAGGTAGAAGTCTTATAGATGAGAATGTAATGATGCACCCGCCTGCGCTAACGGTATACGCTGGCGGGGCACCAGTGGAGGATGATAAGATGAGCATGAGGTCAGGTCAGTTAGCACATCGTGACAAATTTACCAGCTATTTATAACGATGGTTTTTAGAAACGACCTCGCTGGTCTAGCGGTCTAGCACACCGCTTTACGTCCGATGGTCGCGGGTTCGATTCCTCGCACGGCACAAACATTTGTATTCATGAGTATGATTGTTTGTATCGGTCTGGGTGTTTTCTAGGTATATTAGTGTGTATTTACAAATAAAATCTTATGTATTTATATCAGTCATCTAGTACCCATAACACAAGCTTTAGCTATCTTAGCTTGGGTCTAGATGGCGCTGTGTGAATTGTTTATTGAGTTAATAATTATTATTATTATTATTATTATATATATATCGTATCTCCCTTTTAACGGGGGTAATATATTCAAACACGCGGGCCTTAGCCAAGCATGGATGAGTTATGTGATGAAGAAAGAAATTTTCTGACTATTCGGCATGTGTTTAGAATGACGGCTTTTTGTAGTAGTTCTATTGTAGAGGAGGGGATATACAACGTGATAGGGGGAACCGCGTGGAGGTCAACCGGACATAGTACATTGCTAGCAATGGGGTTATTAGTCCCCATTACTACCAGTCCCCTTCAACCTATGACGTCATGTTAAGGTTCAGGGCTAGGGCGAATAAATTTAAAGTGAGACATTGTACATCATGAGGGGTTGGAAATTCATCCAAAGTTCGTATAAAAATCATGAAATCTTGGAATTTTATCTAGTCTTAGATCGGGTCTTAGATTATGTGAAGTTTTACCAATTAAAATTTGACCTTCCGAGATGCGACATTTCAGAGGGAGGAATGGGGGCGGATTGTAAATTATGGAACTAAAAGCGAAGCCAAATATTTGTATGTTGGCAACCCTGATTAGCAATCACCACTCGCGCTACATCCAGATTGATTATATTTAATTAGTGTGTATTGTTATTTTTCCTTATTCAAAAATACGAGAAATTGTGTCATATATGTTTCGTCATAGATTTCTTTCTAACTATTATAGATAGATATCCATGTTATTCAGATCAATAGATACATACACATATAAATTACAAAAAAAAAAACAGAGTATATAAAAAAATAAGAAGCGTCTTGTTAGTAATGTGGACTAATAACACCATTCCTAACAAAGTACCATGTCAGTCCATGTGTCATGATCTCTACTGGGTTCCCCTGGAGACCATCGTGATAAATTCCTGATGAATTTACGAGGTTGGGCTAACTGAGCTGACCTCATGTACAGCTTATCATCCTCTACTAGTGCCCCGTTAGTAGTTAGCCCCGTATTGTGTGTTATAGTAAGTATATATTTATATTTATGTATGTATATTTGTAATTATTTTTAAGAAAACCTATTTACCTATGTTAGGTAAAATTATAAGTTAGTCCTTTCCCACCGCTGCCCATCAACCGCTTTCTGTTCTTACCTAATGGTTAGCTGGTATAGAATGCCATATGGCAATACGCTCGCCAAATTGTACATTTTTTAAAAGTGCAATAAAGAATAAATAAATAAAAATCAATGAAAATAGAGAATAATAAAATTTCAAACATTTCTAAATCCACCGCGGTAGAAGAATCCAGTTTAGAGGCAGGAGCATACCCAACTCCGCCCCCCTTCTATCCCCCAATGGGGCTGGCGTGCACACGTATCCACAATTAAGTAGGGCAACATAGGTGGCCCTAGCAACGAGATAGGGTAGGAAGATCTCATGAAGATTTTTCCACACAAAAAAAGTTTAGTAAATCTGACGTAAGCACTTCACAATTTCGTAATGAGTAAAAGAAAGAAAATCTCAAAAGACAAGTTTTACATACCTGCACCACTCTGACCGAAGACAAAGTTGTCAGGTCTGAAGAGTTGTCCGTAGGGGCTGGCCCTCACTGCGTCCATTGTGCCAGGTTCGAGGTCCACCAAAACTGCGCGGGGGACATATTTACCTGAGGAAAGAAATTACAAAACTTTGAATGTACATATCAAAATGGTTAACGACTATTTCCCACGACGATACAGTGGTGATTCTAACTAATTGTAGTTATACAAATTCAAAAATTATTTATTAAACAAAAACTTAAGAAATTTCTATTAGAAAATCAAATTTCCACTGTATAACTGTCCGTACTGTATTGTTTTATATATGTATTTTCATTTCCATACATTATCATAGCATAGATTTACACCTTAGCAGAGCCACCAACAGCGCACGTTCACGCGGGCAGCAGTAGGTACACAATTTTTATATTTTAAATTATTTTCTACAAGGTTCCACTGAAAATCAGCGTTTGGGCATTACAGCCCAGACACAAAGCTGAGTGGAAACCAATTTGGTCGCAACTGTATTTTTAAAATAATGCTTTATAATTTTTGTAATATGTTGTATGATTGTTTTGTATGCGCCAAATAAATATATTTTTCTTTTTTTCTTCTTTCTATTCATGTAGGACATTTTAGCCGCTTATGAACGTCAAATTTTTTATATTATAATTTTTCCCGACCGTCGTTAAATATTCTATGTAAAAACACACACCCACAAATTTAATTCTACACATATCTTATCGTCAGATGAAGCTGTAAAATCCAGATGCGGACAACAGCATTAGAGTAGTCCGAAAAAAAAAAACACAAGTCTTACCACTGGATGCCTCATGGTAATACACGTTGAGACGCTCCTGCTGCAACGAATTCTCTCCATTATACAACCCATTGGCATCTATTCCATGCTCATCTGATATCACCTCCCAGAACTGAGGACAGATTAAAAATAATATTAATACGCGAAGCAACAACCTTGTACACTTTTTTACGAGAATTATATGGAAGGCGTATGAAATAGTACATATAGGAGGGAATAACATATAGAAGAATACATATTGCTATTATGTTTTAAATTAAAAATATATAATAACTAGCTGATTCCGCGAACTACGCCTTAAAATTGAAAATGTCAAAGGTTTTTTGAAGTTTAAAATTCAAAAAATTCAAAAATCTTGTATTTATTAATGTAGGACTTTTTAGCCGCTTATGAAGGTCAAATTTTTACATTATAATTTTATACCGTCCAGTTCGGTATATAGACTTAATGCCAATTGAATTACGATTTTTTTTAGTTACGCAATAAATTTCTGCGCGAACTCTGTTTAACAGGTATCAGCTGTTTGTATGGGAAATTAAAATAGTTTTTACTATTTGTAGTGAATATGGCACGCGATCGCACCACCACTGGGCTGCTACTGAAAATCAGTGTTTTGCTATGAGCAAATTGTTCACAAACATCCCTGTGGCACCTAATATATATTTTAATGTTTACTAGTTAAAGTATTATGTGTTGTATTTTTTTTTTTTATAATTATTTACTATTCTTATGTGTTATTTGAATTTTGTTTGTACTATCTTTGTTATCGGGATACGAATAAAGATTTTTATCTATCTATCTATCTATCTATTTTACATGCAATTTCTTACATTTTAACCGTTTAAAGGGTTCTGAGACTGGACTATAAGAATATTTTAAAGAAATTAGCCAAATCGGTTCAGCCGTTCTCGAGTTTCGATACTAACGAACAGCAATTCATTATTATATATATATATATATATAGACAATAAAAATTAAATGAAATCAATAAAAAATATTACACATGTATTTGATACACAAAAGCATATTATAAGTATATATACTCATTTGTTTACTGTCAATACTCAATACTCAATATTTATTGCATTCCATAATATTACAATGAAATATGTTTATAATTAGTTTTCGATCATTATATTTTTTAACATTATTATTACTATTATCATAACTAGTTATAACATATAATTAAATGTTAATTATAATATACATTAATTAAATGTTACATAAAAACTAAAATACATCATTCAAATAATCATTTACATTATTATATTGTTTATTAAATGGTTTCAGTATTTTATAAACATATATCTTATTTCAGTAGTCAAAGTGAATAAGTTTAAGTTTTACTAAAAATATTAGTTACATTTCGGTATTTCGACCGACCAACCTCAAGTCTTTTTTGTAAACCATGTGCATGTTTGTACTGCGTGATCTCTTTATGGGGGGAAAGGATTGTTACTAATATTTGTGTATGTATGTGTATGTGTTTACATGTATTTGCTTTTAGTATATGTATTTTTTTTTTTTTTTTGACTATTGTTTTTATTAATTATATTTGCATACAGTTTTTCTCTGCACAGCCTATGGTTGACTGGTAGAAAATGCCTTAAGGCGTTAAGTATTACTTTTATATTTTGTGTATTTAATATATAAATAAATAAATAAATAAATAATAGCTCATGACCCCATTACTAAATGTTAAATTAATTATGGTCCAATTTAGATTATTGATAAATTCCTGTTGAATTTGTCACTAGTCTTTGTTTTTAAATCATTCTCCATGTTCTTAGCGTAAACCGTTAGCGCAGGCGGCTACTCTATTCCATTTTTTAAAAAAACCGATTTATATATATTGTATATTCAGTAGGTCTGAGAATCGGCTGCTATCTATTTTTCTTACCCCTTAGTGATAAGGATTGTTCACCCCTAACATTTTTTTTCGACAATGTTTTATAGTTTTATAATGTGGTATTAAAACATACAACCCTAAATTTTCACCCTTCTATCACCATCCCCTATTTATTAATAGCAATATTAGTTTATATGGCAAAAAAACGTTTGCAGGGTCAGCTATACTTGTAAATATCTATATTTGAGATTGTATTCGTCAGTGTAGACATGTTATGAATGTTATAAACTAAATTTATATTACAGATAGCTGGGTAACTTCTATTTTTATCAATTCAAACACAGCGGCATTGATCAATCGGTTTTGTTAAGTATGATTATTTGTAATAACTGGATAGTAAATAGGTTTTACAATTTTTAATGGTTGATAATGGATACTGACACGACTAACTTGTGAATAATATTGTCGAAAGAAAAATAGAATTATAGAAGGAAAAATAGAAGGAAAGAGTGGGAGGGGAAGACCAAGACACAGCTATAGGGGCCGTTCAAGTATTACGTAAGCACTATAGGGGGGCGGGGGGGTCTTTTCTTTGCTTATTTTGGATGACATGGGGGTGGGGGAGTCTGTATGATGATTACGTCATCGGAAAATTTACTTTTTTACACGAATCGTGTCATTATCAAAAAAAACAATCATTAATTGAGAGATGTTTACGTGATGGCAGCTTTGCTTACTTTTGCTGACACCGGGGGATGGGGGGTAAATAATTGTGATAAATCTGCTTACGTAATACTTGACATAAGGAAAAAGCATCGTGTCGTATCAATAGTCAAAGAGCATGATGGAAGAGCGCAGGAAGTGAATGCTCTTAAAATGAATGAATGAATGGATACTGATATGGAAATCTATTATGACTATTCTAAAGTGCTTATATTAAGTTTATTTGAATAAATGATTTTCTAATCTATTCTATTCTGTTCTTTTAAGCTCTGTTCTGTTCTGTTCTGTTATATTCTATTCTATTCTATATTATATTCTGGAATATGATACTTGGTACGGCACGATGAATTTATGAAAAATGTTATTGTGGGAAAAAAATAGAAGGAAAGAGAGGAGGGGAGAGGAAGACCAAGGCACAGCTACATCGAGCTAATTAAAGATAAAATTGGAGTCGTGTCGCATCATCAGTTAAAGAGCATGATGGAAGAACATGGAAAGTGGCAAGAGCTTATATTATGAACGAATTAATGGAATGTTCAGTCTGTGCTAACGGTCTACGCTGGGGCACGAGACGGAGATGATAAGATCAAGTCTGTTAGTCCGTCGTGGAAAATTCAGTAGTAATTTATCATGATGATACTATAAAATTGAAGAATTCGTTAACGATAATAATGTTTTTATAGAAAAACTTTTAGCACTGACAATATGATCTGATTACACTAATAATGAGTGCGTAGCGATTTCTATGTTGATTATCGCATGCCTCTTACTTGTTATACTGTCATTATTTATATAAAAAAACATCTATTAAAAAGAGCAACACACAAGTTTCTTGCTCATTCTTCTTGTGATGAATCTGCATTCCGAATGAGTGGTAGAATCAAAATATGACTATTCAAAAGTGCTTGTAATGAGTTTATTTGAATAAAGTATGTTTCTATTTCTATTTCTATGCTCTGAAAAGCAAGCACACCCTTCACATTAACCAACCAGTTACATAAGTTAAGCTAACTAAAGCTTGTGTTATGGGTACTAGATAACCGATACATATACCTACATAGATATATATTTTTGTAAACACATACATATTATACATAGAAAACATCAGTGGGATACAAACAATCATACTTATGAATACAAATGTTTGTGCGAATCGAACTCGCGACCATCGGTCGTAAAGCGGTGTGCTAGACCACCGAGGTAGTCGTGTAGACTTGTGGCACTTAAAGTTTGTTTCATCTTTATTGTTATGTGTTTTTTTTTATATTTATTTTGTACTAGCTAAATGTGTCTGTAATAATAAAAAAATTCCCAAGAAACTATGATCGCCTGTTTTATTTTATCTCCTTAAGGGTAACATTTTTACAAACTTTGAATGTCATATCTGTATTATTAGACAATTTAGTGTTTCACCATTTATTGTTTTATTATACGTTCAATAATCGTTACACATTCTTCTAACATTTTATCAACTTTTCTAATGACTGTTTGTGTCATTTGTCTTCTGACACTGACTTATTTATACAACGTAGATTATATATCATTATTACTACTACAATATACAATATCTCACTTACAATCCTTTTTTCTCACTAAAGCCTAGTAGCCTAGGTACTTTCTCAGAGTCTACACTGCCTGTGCATCAAATTTCATCTAAATCAGTGTCGTAGTTTTGGTGTGAAAGCGCAACAGACAGAGTTACTTTCGCATTTCGTATATTAGTATGAATATGAATGTGTGTGCCGAAGATGCAAATAAACTTATCTATCTATCTATCTAAACTTTATAATATCACAAACAGCCCCGCCAAACGTTTTATTATTAAATTAATTTAATCAGTTATCGACCGACGTGAGTCCAATGATTGATTAATTACTTTTAAAAATGGGTGTTGATGTGAAAACACCTATTTTTATTATGAATATTTAATATTGTAATGGGTGAAAACTGTGATCGGTACAGCCTATGCTGTAAATAATATAATTGACGTAGTGAAGTAACGTGAAACAGTCATGCTCGCTATAAAGTTCAAACTTGGCGGGTGGGCCGGGTCGATGTGCTCCCTCTAATATGGTTGAGTACAATGATGGCTAGCTCATACGTCATACTCGTGAACGGGTGCTGCTTGTGGGAACTGGTCTGTTCAGGTTGTGAACACTGATTAAACTTTTTGTTCTTTGTTTGCGATAGCATATGCCATATGGTCACTCTATTCTCCCAAATTTGAATTTTAATGACTGTGTATTATTATAAACATGTTCCATTATTATTTGAAAAAAATACGAGTTTCTTGTCAGTTCTTCTCATCTCGATATCATTCCGAACTGACGGTAGATTTGACATATCATAAGAGTCTGTAATAGACCTACATGAATAAAGATATTTTGAATTTGTATTTTTAATAGCAATATCAGTTGAAATGATGTTGGAAGAAAGGTGAATATTTAAGTATTTTTAAGTAAATATTCTTTATTGCACTTATGTATACCTATAGCAAGAAACAACATATTGACGACCTCGGTGGTCTAGCGGTCTAGCACACCGCTTTACGTCTGATGGTCACGGGTTCGATTCCTCGCACGGCACCAACATTTATATTCATGAGTATGATTGTTTGTATCGGTCTGGGTGTTTTCTATGTATAATATGTATGTATTTACAAAAAAAAACAATATCTATGTATATGTATCAGTTATCTAGTACTCGTAACACAAGCTTTAGCTAGCTTGACTTGGGTCTAGATGGCGCTGTGTGAATTGTCCTGAGATTATTATTATATTATTTATAAATAAAAATGTGAGCAGTGATAAGTCCACCCTTGCACTTATCTCTGAAAGAGATCTCTTCCAGTCAACCTAACGCTGTGTCAGTGGACATATTTAGCGGATAATGAATAGAATAGAATAGAATAGAAAATCATTTATTCAAATAAACTTAATTTAAGCACTTTTGAATAGTCAACATTTTTTTAAATCTACCGCTTATTCGGAAAGCTGTCTCATCATAAGAAGAATAAGCAAGAAACTTGTGTGTTGCTCTTTTAAACAATCCTTGTAAGTTCACATTTTACAAGTCGAAACGTGTGAATACAAACTACCAACCAGCACTAATTTATTTGGGCTCAAATATAAAAACACAATAAGATTAAATCAGTCGTAGTGATAAGAGCAGACCCTACAAGCAGCACTCGTTCACGAGTATGACGGATGAACCAGCCATCACTGCGCTCGACCATATTTTAGGGAGCCCAATGACCCGGCCTACCACGCCGCCACATGTCTGGACATTTTAGTGAGCATGACTACTCATTCCACTCGACCACGTCACAGCTACAATACAAATGGTAATGCAAGAGTTCTAAACACACAAATAGAATTTTAATGATTTTAATGGTCATAAACAATTAACTCAAATCAATTAAAAATTCAGGTGGACCACCCTTATCTCTTAGGGGTTTTATTTTTCAGTAAATATTGCAACATAGTGGTTATTGTTTCAAAAATATTTTTAAATAACCTTCACGTTTACTTAAATACCTTAATTACGTAAAAACGAGGATTAAGTATTAAGTACATAATTGATTAATTTAGGTATAATTGTTACTTATATAAATTAAACTAATTTATTTAATTTATGCCTAATAGTAAATATCATAGACGGTTTTAAATTAAAACTTTATGATGAATAACCTATTATCCTACATTCTATTTAAAAAATAATCAAGTACATTCGGTACCTAACCTTAAAACCGGATATATAGATAAAAAAATACCTTTGAACCAATTTGATTCCCACACTGACCGGCCTGTACATGCACTATTTCTGGCATTATAAAAACTTTATTTTGCACTTAAAAATTATGACTATTTAAAACAAAATTAATATACTTTTTATAGGTATTTTATGGACTGACACAGTTAATGTACTAGTCATAATGTTAATGTGATATTTTATCAGTATTATCTGATTATATCTTGCTGATATAATACCGATGAGTGATACACGTAGTATAAAATTTACTAGGTATCTATTTGCTCTGTGATAAAGTTTATATTGCGAGAACTATAGATACGAATTACGTGTATCTGTGGCAGGCCGAGGAATTGAAGAAACCGGAAATTATTTTAGAGTTTAATTTCTTTTATTTAATATCTCATGAGATTTTAACCTTCAATTATATTTATATTTCAGAAAATAACAAACTATGTAGGTACATAATATTTAGTGTAGTGAGTAATAAATTAAACATACCTTCATTATTTAAAATACATTGTAAATTTTTTATGTAAAAAAAGAGCATTTCTTACGACTTCAGGACAATGTCCTTTTAGCCAACTGTTAACTTACACACTTAAACTTTTAACCTACTCCACTGTCACTTTCTTATAAATATAAAGTAAGGGGATTCTTAGTAATGGTGATCCCATTGCTAGCAATGTACCATGCCATTGTTGACCTCCACCCAGTTCCCTCTGGAAACCATCTTCATCATTTCTGGTAAATTCACCATGACGGGCAAACAGACCTGATCTCGTACTTGTGAGTTCACATTAATATTGAAGAAAAAATCCGATAATTTAAAAAGATATCAAAAGAAGGTAGTTTGTGTTTAGTACTAATGAAGTACCCAATTTAAAAATTATTACAAATGTTGTAAATAGCGCCATCTAGTATTTATAGATTGACCTACTACACTGACTTTGGTCTATAAATGCGGAGGTCGGTAGTTGAATAATGCTCTTTCGTTGGGTGAGCAGCGGCATTCCGTCGACGAGCGCAGAGCGTGCCGGTTGTGTTTTGGATACTAAAGTGAATTGTATTAGGAATGGGTTTATCGCGGTCTTAGTTGGACCTGGGGGGGAAGCTGCAAGTAGTGAAGGTGAGTGTTAATGCATTCTAAAAGGGCCTTTTAAACCTACACCCGTGTCACAAGTCACGGGCGCTACTTGGGGTTTCCCTTGCGGTAGCCGGCTTCAAAGCCTAAATTATCTTTTATTAGTGCTTCTTACATACTATATTGTGTTAAATCTAAATTTACAGAATGGGCAACAGTAGGAATACTTAAAAGTAGAAACATTTTATTTGATTTATATGATCAAAAAAAATATAGATTTGATGACAAATTTACGACTTATGTGAGAAATTACTCTAAAATTTTCAAACAAGTTTGTATTGCAGCTAAATCTAATTTTATAAATAAACAAATTAATCAGTCCTCTGACAAAATTAAGACCATCTGGGGAATTATAAACAAAGAAACTGGACGGTCTGAAAAAGCCTGCAATCAATTCTCATTAAATTATGACAATAAGTTAATAACAGCAACAAAAGATATAGTTCATATTTTCCAAGATTTTTTTGCTAATATTCCGATTGATATTACATCTTCTCTAGACTCATCCCCAATTCGAGCAAAAACATTACTGGAGGCTAATGTCAGCCCTTGCTCTTTAACATTTAAATTTTCACTATCCTATCCATTCTCCACTGGTGCTACCACCAACATATACCGAGCACAGGAGTGTAAAACATTTCACCATCATCCCTAAAAAATCGACGTCGCTGTCTGTTTACTTACATCTCTTAAATTATGCAACAGATTTCAATGCAGTTTTCAGCAATTATAGAGCGATTCAAGAGAAAGGTTTATTTGTATAATACATGCGTGTTATAGTATAGAACTAGCCGAGAAGTTCTATGGTTTGTAATACATGCATGTGAAACCGGAACGGGTTACTTTTAAAATAAAGATTAGAACTGTGAACTGTTAAATGTATACATATCTATATATATATATATATATATATATATATATATATATATATATAAATAAAATTGGAGTATCTGTTTGTAATATTAAAATAACTGTTTTTAATACATGCATATGAATATAAATAGGACACATACACCAAAATAACATTTTTTACAATTTTTGTCTGTCTGTTTGTTCCGGCTAATCTCTGAAATGACAGACTTTTATTGGCGGGTAGCTGATGTAATAAGAGGTAACTTAGGCTACTTTTATTTTAGAAAAATGAAGTTAAATTCCACGCGGACGAAGTTGCGTGCACAGTTAGTATGTAGTTAATATATTTTGTATACAATTATATAAAGTACCTATATGTAAATATTTTTATTCATTTATGTCAGACTAAACGTTATGAATACCTTATGTGTAATAATAAATTTAGAATAGAATAGAATAGAATAATTCTATTCTATTATATTCTAATAATAATATTATTAATATTATAAACGCGAAAGTTTGTGAGTATGGATGGATTTTTGTTACTCTTTCACGTAAAAACTACTGAACGGATTTTAATGAAGCTACAGTAATATAGCTTATACATCAGAATAACATATAGGCTGTAATTTTAAAGATATTATGTAAATTAGGCGAAAAATGACAAGTGTCATGTGAGAATGATCCAGACGAAGTTGCGCGGGTCAGCTAGTGTAGTACTGTCGACGGCAATCTGCTGCGGTGGCGCCGATACACCACCCCTTTCGGCCAGTAGTCCTTCATGAAGGTGGGCAGCATGTTGGTAAGGACCCGGGACACAAACGCCTTGAAACTCGCGTTGTGACTCAACTCCAGCTGCGTCACCCTCAATGTCAGGTTACTCCTGGTCCGTTTACTCCTTGGTGACTTACCTAAGTTTCTTTTGTTTGTAGGTACAAATTTTTCTATACCTTCATTTTGCTATATGTCAACAATATCTCTGCACAATTCACACAGCGCCATCTAGTCCCAAGCTAAGCAGAGCTTGTGTTATGGGGACTAGATTACTGATATATAGGTATGTACACATAAATAGTTTTTTGTAAATACATACTTAATATACGTAGATACAAATAAGACCGATACAAACAAACATACTCATGAATACAAATGTTTGTACCGTGCGAGGAATCGAACCCCCGACCATCAGAAGTAAAGTGGTGTGCTAAACCGCTAGATCAGACCGGCCGTCGATACATGTTTTTATAGAAAAACTAAAAATCCAAATTTATCTGATTGCACTAAGAATGAGTGCGTAGCGATTTCTATGTTGATTATCGCACGCCTCTTCCTTGTTATTGTGTATTATTTATTTAAAATAAGATCTATTAAAAAGAACAACACACAAGTTTCTTGCTCATTCTTCTTATGATGAATCTGCGTTCCGAATGAGTGGTAGAATAAAAATTGACTATTTAAGAATGGTTGTAATGAGTTTATTTGAATAAAGATTATTTCTATTTTATATCTGTATATATATTTGTAATCGGTAAATATAGTTGGTCGGGCCTGGAATGGATTGCCTCCGTTTAGAACCTGGAACCCGACCAGGGTGGGGGGTAAAAAGAAGATAGCTCAGTTTTGAGATGAGGTTAAGTAGGGATGCGTACAATGGCTAGCTTGCATAAGGTAGAAATAAGGGAAGACTCACAGTTGATGGCTGGGGCGATCTCTTGAAGGCTTGATTTCACTGGAACTGATGCAGAAGCTTGTCTTCCAAAGCTTGACTACACTTTTCACTGCCTAAGGGCTAGCCCAGCACAAACTGTTATTAGTATATTGTTATTTAAATTGAAACATTGCCGCCATTACCGCATCTCGACGCAAAGAAGTTCTGTTGCGTATTGAAAGTGCCTGTCACGTGTAGAGTCGATGTAGGATAAAAGGTTTCTTGTATTGGCGCATAGATGGCACCGCTAGTTTAATATTCCGATACTTGGGAATAAGGAATGGAAGCCAGCACAATAGTAGAAGGAAAAAAGGTTGTTAGTAATGTGAAGTAATAACTCCATCGCTAGCAATGTACAACGTCATGTTGACCTCCACATAGTTCCCCATAGAAACTAAACAAATTCCTGGTGAATTTGTCACGATGGATGTACTAAGTAACCTAACCTCATGCCCATATCATCATCCTCCACTGGTGCCTCGCTGGCGTAAACCGTTAGCGCAGACGGGTGCACCATTCCATAATCATCCATAAAAAAATTGGTAAATATCTAATTTATCTATTTTAATTATATTATAAACGCGGAAGGTTATGGATGTTTGTTATTCTTTCAATAAAAACTACTGAACGGATTTTAATGCAACTTTATAGTAATATAGATTATACATCAAAAGATATAGGCTATAAATATCACGCGGGTTAAACCGCGGGCCCAGCTAGTCTTTTCTGTAAACAGTATTTCAATAGTTAATTTTAAACTTTCGTGTTTAATATACATTATTTAAATTATTAACCGGGTCTTAACACGAATAATTTTATGGCAAATAAAGGTATTTACCTCTCTCGACGTTTCGACTAGGTTGCACTAGCCGTGGTCACGAGCTGACTGGAGTAACAGACACAAGATCTCTGTGCCCCTGAATTTGTGGAACAAGAACTATCCCACGTTCAAGAAGTACTCAAGAAAAATGGTTACATAAAGAGTAGAAGGCAAAATAAGCGCGTAACAAAAGCTAAAAAACCGGAAGTGAACAGACAGCCAGCGTACATGACTTACTTAAGAGGAATAACGGACAAAATTGGAACAGCACTAAATAAATACTCCATTAAGACTGTATATTATCCGCCCTCAAAAGTAACGAACAATTTACGTTCACCAAAGGATAAGCTACCTTATGAAGCTCCAGGTGTCTACAAAATTGACTGTAGTTGTGGTAGCTCTTATATTGGCCAAACAAAGCGATCAATAGCCGAGAGAGTCAAAGAGCACATCGCAGCGGTTAAAAATCGACAACCACACAAATCAGCGATTGCCGATCATCTACTGAACGCAGGAACAAATCACTGGATTGAACTACATGCGCCTAAGGTCCTCTCTACTGATCGCCACTATTACCCACGAATGGTCCGGGAGGCGATTGAAATTAAAAAACATCCCAATTTCAACAGAGAGGATGGCTTAAAATTATCATCTGCGTGGAATCCAGTCATAAATAAATTCAAGCAAAGTTCAGTAGCATCAATAGTCAATAAGTGTACGGATACCGTGAGTGCTGTGTGTCGCGAACTTTCGTTAAACAATCTAGTGACGGTAGATGAAGAAAAACTGCTGTTGCCTATCTACATTGACATCTCTGTTACTCCAGTCAGCTCGTGACCACGGCTAGTGCAACCTAGTCGAAACGTCGAGAGAGGTAAATACCTTTATTTGCCATAAAATTATTCGTGTTAAGACCCGGTTAATAATTTAAATAAAGTATTTCAATAGTAATATGATATATATGGGTATAGATCATTATTAAGATGAATAAAAGTACCAAAAAGTATTTTAAATACTTTAATATCAATTGAATCGTCTACACGTACATTTATACTACATTTTTGTTACAATCATTCAATATAGTTATAATGTTCACTATTGTTAAACAACAAGTGAAATGAGATCTAAGAGGCCATTCATAAATGATAACACATTAAAGGTAGCCGACTCCCGTCCTGTACCTACCACGCTTTCACACACACACGACACCGTCCTCGCCGGCGAAGTCGACGACCTCAACCACACCATACCGCGCAATCGACCGGGCGCTATATACTAAATTTGATACACAGATAGCCTGAGAAAGGGCTTACTTTTTAATGCGAAAAAGGGTATTGAAAAGAGAGACATGAAAGGTTGAAAACTATATGGAAGCATAGTTTTTATTTTTTTTAATATCATATAGTTATATATGTTGTATAGTTTATCATTTCTAAAGCTAGAAACTTGAAATTTATTTTTTAAGTAACTTTATATAAATAAATTAAATAAATATGTCATTCAAAGATAAAAATGCTACCTTTATGGCGTGATATAAAATAGAGGGTGAAAGAAATTTCACTTCCCAGGTCATTTTTGAAGCTAGAATGATGAAAATTGTCTTTGGTTTTTTTTAGTTAGATTATTAAATATTTTTTCTTTAATTTGTCAAGGTTACTATTCCTCGCGGACGAGGGGAAAGTGGATTGATATTCTTATTGCTGGCAATGTACCATGTCATGTTGATCTCCCTGGAAACCATCGTGATAAATTCCTAGTGAATTTGTCACTGTGTGCTAACTGACCTGACCTCATGCTCATCTTATCCTCCACTGGTGCCCCGCCAGCGTAAACCGTTGGCGCAGGCGGGTGCACCATTGCATTACCTAAACATATAAATAAAACTGGAGTGTCTGTTGGTAATATTGAAATAATCGTTTTTAACTACATGCATACATAAATACGGTACATACACCAAAATAACGTTTTTTACAATTGTTGTCTGTCTGTCTGTTTGTTCCGTCTAATCTCTGACATGGCTAGACCGATTTTGGCAGGACTTTTATTGGCAGGTAGCTGATGTAATAAGGAGTAATTTAGACTACTTTTATTTTAGAAAAATAAAGTTCAACTCCACGCGGACGAATTATATATATATAGATAGATATAATTATATCTATAAAAAAAGCCAACTATTATAAGAGTGGGAGTAGATGGGTATAAAACCTGTTATTGGCTTTCTCTAGATATGTACTGTTGATTAATGTATTAAATTGTAAGCTTCTAATAAATAAATAAATTTAAAAAAAATGTTATCTAATTTATAGATAGCTCCCTAACTATAATTAAAAATGTTTATTATTTCATAATGATATAAATATATAAACTATAACTTTACACGAGTGACTTATAATCTATAACAGCGTGTTTATTATATAAGCTTGGTTTCCAATAATTGGATAATATAATTAAAAAATTGGGTAAAACACTTATCACGAAGAGATACAGATGTTTGTGCAATGGTTGCGTGTGGCCATATGGGTATAACCAAAGACCACGTCGGTTGCCATCCCTGATGTGATGGCTGGTGTAGGCTATGGTCAGCATCCAAGTCAGAATGTATATATTTATTTTTTTATACATATAACTGTATAATAGAAGGATTATAGTGATCGCCAGCCAAAACGTAGTGCAGTGGAGAATTCCTCGATGGCTGAGGTTTGTTAGGTCCTGGAAAATAATATTTTATTAGAATAGAATAGAATAGAAAATCATTTATTCAAATAAACATTACTTTGAAGCGCTTTTGAATAGTTATCACATTTTTTTTTCACACTCAAATTTAAAACAGTATAATTCCTAGTTATTTAATCATGATGGGTAAATTGACGTGACCTCATGGTCATTTAATCATACTCCACTGGTATCCCTCTAGCATATATTGTTAACATAGGCAGGTGCTTACGATTATAAAAAAAAACTAGCTACTCACCCCGGCTTTGCATGGGTGTACATGTATTATATATATAAACCTTCCTTTTTAATCACTCTATCGATTAAAATCTGTTGCATAGTTTTAAAGATTTAAGCATACATAGGGACTTTGTTTTATACCATGTTTATACCAAGCTCTGCTTAGTTTAGGACTACATGACGATGTGTGAATTGTCCAGGATTATTATTATTACATTTTACTAATATTATAAATGCAAAAGTTTGTCAGTATGGATGAGAGTTTGTTACTTTTTCACATAAAAACTACTCAACGGATTTTGATGAAACTTTACAGTAACATAGCCTACACATCAGAATATAATAGCCTATAATTTAAAAAATATTATTAGGCGATATATAATGATAAATGTGATGCAGAAGAAGTCGCATAGGTCAGCTAGTATAAATATATATATACCAAATATCTACACATGAAAATAATATAATTACCTTCCACTGCAAAGATCCGGCAACAAACAAATGATCAATATCAATGAAAGACGAGAGGAAAGTGCAAAAAGCAATGTTAAAAAAGTACATTGTGTCCTTTACATTTTCGTGGGTGAAAAATAGTATTGACGACAGTAAACCTATGGTTGCGTGCACAGCACTGTCGGCGCAAGCTCTGAACACTAGTGATTGTGAAAATTTTGTATTCGAAACAATATAATCACCAATAATAGCAGTGACAAAAATGGACAAACTCAACACCACTGGGGTTTTCATTTTTATCCTTATTTACAGTATTTGGCACCGTTCAGACGATCAGAATGGTCATATTTAGTATTTTAAATATCTAATTATTGTTTTCTATCAATATTTCAAGTTTAATTGCAATATTTTAATTTATAATTACAAATCGCGATGAGAAGAAATAATAATAGTTTAAACTTGATATCAAAACATATCAATACATCGATTTGAATTTGACATTTTATGACAATGACAGCAGACTCAGTTCCATTTTATTTTCGTTCAGAAATACACTGTTTTAATTTGACGCGTTCATTATTTATACATATAGGAAAAATCACAGGATTTTACCATGTTTTATTTGTTTTCATTGAGTTTCTGATATTTTGGAAGTGTTTCAACTGCAATGATCACGAATCACGGGTAAGAACTCAATATTGGCACATAATACAATGTCGTGATTTTTTCTAATATAATCAGAAAATTTCATTAATTAATAATAATTTAATACGTCCATAGGCTACGGTAACCGTTTAGCATCAGATGTGCCGTATGCTTTTTTGCCAACTACGTGGTATAAAAAAAATTAAGTATTAATATAATATTTATTCTCCAGGCCACACAATCTCTTAGATCCAGTCTATATAGCTTGCTAGGACAGTTAATATTAGTGTAAATAAAAAAAGAATATATATAAAAAAGTATTCAATTAATTAATAATAATTAAGTATGGATATTTATTCTCCAGGCCACACAATGCCCTCGATCCAGTCTAAATAGCTTGATATTCTGGTGTAGACGGCTGGCGGTCCGTTAGCACACTGTTCACCAAAAGACGTGATGCCAATAATATGAAAGATGCATTGTTTGTCTTTCGAAGGTATTTGTAAGGGAGATCCGGAATTAGCCTGAAATGAAAAAAAATACATGTTGTGTTCTTCTTCTTTCTGCTTCTCTGCCAATGTCAAGATTAGAAATGACGTGTAATAGGTTATTTCTGCGGATGTTAATGGAATGGTGCACTCGCCTACGCTAAGAGGGCATCCGTAAATTACATGAGATGTTTATTGGGATGAGGGAGTCGAGTCAAATCTCATCTAATCTTACGTTGGAGAGAGAGGGGGTCTCGGCAAATATCTCGCAATTTTTTTTCTGATTGAAACAAAAAAAAAATACTATTTTGGTCCATTTAATCCAGAATGTACATGCTTATTACACTTATAACTCTCAGCAATATTAATTACTAATCTTAACTAGTCGTAAATAACTTTTATTTACGAAGAATTTTTTTTTCTTTTTACAATAACAATCCAACGCGTTTACGTAAGAAACCCACATTTTGAAAAACTCACGTGAGATTGGAGAATGGGGGGGGGGGGGGGGGGGGGGGGGGGGTTGAATAAAATTTCACGACATCTCACCAGGGGGGAGGGAGGCACAGAAAATTAAAAAAACACCTCACGTAATTTATGGACGTCCCCTAACGGTATACGCTGGCGGGGCACCAGTGGAGGATCATGATTATGTGGTCAGGTCAGTTAGCACGACGTTGTAAATTCACCAGGAATTTATCACGATGGTTTCCAGGTGGAACCGCGTGTAGGGCAACCTGACATGGGACATTGCTGGCAATGGAGTTATTACCCTGTACCCTGTTCATGGCTACAATCACGAACAGGAGTATCCGTTTAATGAACCAACATGTCACGTATAAAGTTCTTCTGGCCGCGTAAAAACAAAAGTGTGGAAATAAAATAAATAAATAAAAAATAAAATGAATTTCAGTACTACTGATTTATTAAAACATTGGGGCCGTTCAAGTATTACTTAAGCAGATTTATTACAATTATTTACCGCCCCATCCCCCTTGTCAGCAAAAGTAAGCAAAGCTCTTACCCCTCTCCCCACTATGCTTAGGTAAACATTTCTCAATTAATGTATTGTTTTTTTTAGACGACCTCGGTGGTCTAGCGGTCTAGCATACCGTTTTACAACTGATGGTCGCGGGTTCGATTCCTCGCACGGCACAAACATTTGTATTCATGAGTATGTTTGTTTGTATCGGTCTAGGTATTTTCTATGTATAATATGTAGGTATTTACGAAAAAAAAAATCTATGTATTTATATCAGTTGTCTAGTACCCATAACACAAGCTCTAGCTAGCTTAACTTGGGTCTAGATGGCGCTGTGTGAATTGTCCTGAGATTATTATTATTATTATTATTATTTAGTAAAACAACGTGAGGGTTGCCATTTGCGTAAAAAAGTAAATACTATCGATGACGTAATCGTCATCTAGACTCCCCTACCCCCATGTCGTCCAAAATAAGCAAAACAAAGCCCCCCCCCCCCCCCCCCCCCCCCCCCCCCCCCCGCCCCCCCCATAGTGCTTCCGTAATACTTGAACGGCCCTTGTTTTAATAAATTAGTAGTACTGAAATACATACTATTTTTTATTTATTTAATAAATAAAAAATAACGGCCCCATTAACGAAAATAATAAAATTAATATTTTACAACAAAAGATGCTGGCTCCTATCCAGCACAGACTACTAAAACACAAAAAATGCTCATCACACAGATAATCTATCTTAATTTTTTTTTTTTTGGTTCTGTTTATCCTTTATCGGAAAGGGAAAGGGAACTGCGCCCATACAGCCATCTGAATTTAATTACCCGACAGGTGTCCTTTCTTCCTCTGAGCTCACCAGCGCACATCTGGGACGGCGACAGTCCCCTCAAGTTAGAGTGTCTAGTGTCGAGCAGTTTAGCACAATCAGTATTGTTCAACAGATTTACCGACACCTTTTGTAGATCTTTCGCTACCTCTCTCGTATCTGAAATGAAAGCTATTTATAACTAGCTGCACGCGCGACTTCGTCCGCGTGAAATTTAACTTTATTTTTCTAAAATAAAAGTAGCCTAAGTTACTGCTTATTTCATCAGCTACCTGCCAATAAAAGTCCCGTCAAAATCGGTCCAGCCATTTCAGAGATTAGCCGGAACAAACAGACAGACAGACAAAAATGTTATTTTGGTGTATATACCGTATTTAGGTATATTCCTTTGAAATAGTAAATTTTGTTAGTGATACAGTTTTTTTAGGAATAACAGTGGACTCGAAGTTACAATGGGGGCCCCATATTTCAAAATTAGCCAGTAGACTTAGTTCTGCTGCTTATGCAATTAACAGACGTGGCGATGGCAAAACTTGTATATTTTAGTTATTTCCATAGCATTATGTCATATGGCATACTGCTATGGGGTAAAGCAGCCGATATAAATACTATATTTATTTTACAAAAGAGAGCCATACGTTCTATTTATGGTATGGGTTCTAGAGAGTCATTACGTCAATGCTTTAAACAATCAAATATCCTCACCGTTGCCTCACAGTACATTTATGAAAATATTATGTATACAAGGAAAAACTTAGATAGTTTCAAGAAACTTAAAGACTGTACAAGTAGAAACTTACGCAATAAAAATAGGCTAATTTTACCTAAATGCCGTCTACACAAAGTTAGTAATTCATTTTATGGTAATTGCGTAAGATTCTATAATAAACTGCCAGAATCTACGCTAAATCTGAGAGGCAATTCAAATTTTATATTAAACAAATGTTATGTAAAAAAGCCTATTATAGGATAGATGAATTTATAGATGATAGCAATATATAGCAAGTATAAGTTTATTTGCGGACAACGTTATAATTTATTGTTCATACTGCTTTCTTGATATATGATAGCGTAGCGGCTTTTGTATTGATTGTCGCATGCAACCTCATGTAAAGTGCGAATACTGTAACTATCATATAGTAATTTTTGTAGCTGTGACGTGGTCGAGTGGAATGAGTAGTCATGCTCACTAAAATGTCCAGACATGTGGCGGCGTGGTGGGCCGGGTCATTGGGCTCCCTAAAATATGGTCGAGCGCAGTGATGGCTGGCTCATCCGTCATACTCGTGAACTAGTGCTGCTTGTAGGGACTGGTCTGCTCTTATCACTACGACTGATTTAATCTTATTGTGTTTTTATATTTGAGCCTAAATAAATTAGTGCTGGTTGGTAGTTTGTATTCACACGTTTCGACTTGTAAAATGTGAACTTACAAGGATTGTTTAAAAGAGCAACACACAAGTTTCTTGCTTATTCTTCTTGTGATGAGACAGCTTTCCGAATAAGCGGTAGATTTTAAAAAAATGTTGACTATCCAGAAGTGCTTAAATTAAGTTTATTTGAATGAATTATTTTCTATTCTATTCTATTCTATAAATTATTGTCCTAAGATATAATTATTAGTTAAATTATTTTAAATTACTTACCAGGGTTGACAGTTCCCCATCCGGTAGCTATAGCTTTAGTTTCACCCCCGAATCCGTTTTGCTGCCACAAGCAGGCGGGCCGTATGTCTGAATCGATCTCCATGTCCAAGTTTAGTTCCAGCAATGCGATATCGTTGTATCTCGCTGGCGGACGGTAGTCGGGGTGTTTGTGGATTCTCTTTATAGGAACCTGATGTAATATAAACAATCGATATAATTATACATACTAACTGTACTCGCGGTTTTACCTGTATGAAATTTATAGCTATACATGTCATTCTGATGTATAAGCTATATTAGTGTAAAGTTTCATCAAAATCCGTTCAGTAGTTTTGCGTGAAAGAGTAACAGTATACTATTATATATATTCTCCCAAATTTGAATTTTAATGACTGTGTATTATAATAAACATGTTCCATTATTATTTGAAAAAAATACGAGTTTCTTGTCAGTTCTTCTCATCTCGATATCATTCCGAACTGACGGTAGATTTGACATATCATAAGAGTCTGTAATAGACCTACATGAATAAAGATATTTTGAATTTGAATTTGAATTTGAATTATTGTTGTCTTATTTTCACAGTTTTTTACACTTTGTGGCGTATACCATACCTACGGGCCTAAACTTATAAACTTACTAACTGTGTTCGCGACTTCGTCCGCGTGGAATTTACTTTATTTTTCTAAAATAAAAGAAGCCTAAGTTACTCCTTATTACGTCAGCTAGTTGCCAAAAAAAGTCCTGACAAAATCAGTTCAGCCATTTCAGAGAACAGCCGGAACAAACAGACAGACAGACAAAACTGGTAAAAAATGTTATTTTGGTGTATGTACCGTATTTATATTCATATGCATGTAGTAAAAAACGGTTATTTCAATATTACAAACAGACACTCCAATTTTATTTATATGTTTAGGTAATGCAATGGTGCACCCGCCTGCGCTAACGGTTTACGCTGGCGGGGCACCAGTGGAGGATGGTAAGATGAGCACGAGGTCAGGTCAGTTAGCCCACCGTGACAAATTCAGTAGGAATTTATCACGATGGTTTCCAGGGAGGCTCTCCTAATGAGTGGTAGATTAGAAAAATTAGTATGACCATTCAAAAGTGCTTAAATTAATTAAACAAATAAAACAAAACAATATAAATAATAATAATAATATTTCAGGACAATTAACACAGTGACATCTAGTCCCACGGTAAGCAGAGCTTGTGTTATGGGTACTAGAAAACTGATATAAATAAATAAATAACCCTGGACAATTAACACAGCGCCATCTAGTCCCACGCTAAGCAGAGCTTGTGTTATGGGTACTAGACAACTGATATAAATACATGGATACATTTTTTTTTTATAAATAAATACATATTATACATAGAAAACACCCAGGCATATACAAACAATCACACTCATGAATACAAATGTTTGTACCGTGCGAGGAATTGAACCCACGACCATCGGATAGTAAAGCGGTGTGCTAAACCACTAGACGTATACGTATGTATATTGTATGTACATAAATATACAATATAAATATATAAATACAACAATAACAGTAAAACAAATATTCAAATAATCTTATTATTTGAATAAAGCATTTTCTTGATTTTTTTATTTTATTCGCCGATTCAAAATGGGATAAGGAAAAGTTTTTTTTTATAACACAGGGGACAAACGAGCATGCGGCTCACCTGATGTAAGTGATTACCGCCGCCCATGAGCACCCGCAACACCAGGGGAATTGCGAGTACGTTGTCGGCTTTTTAAAAAGGAATAAGCTCTTTTCTTGAAGGTTTCAATATCCTATCGGTTCGGAAATACCATTGCTGGAAGGTGATTCCACAATGTGGTTGTGCGAGGCAAAAAGTTTCTAGAGAACCGTACTGTGGAAGACCGCCATTCGTCCAGATGATCAGGATGGTATTTCAGTTTCTGGCGGGTGGTACGGTGGTGAAACTCAGCAGCTGGTATTAATCCGAACAATTCCTCAGAATACTCCCCGTGATATATGCGGTAGAAAATGCACAGAGATGCAATATCACGCCGCAGAGCCTATCTATGATATAACTTTTTAATTGTCTATTTTTAATATAATTGTCATTGATTTCATTGTAGTGTAACGAGGACAGTTCACGTACCTATATTAAATATATACCTAATTTAAATTAATTCATTTTATTATTTATATATATATATATCTTATATATAAAATTCTCGTGTCACAGTTTTCGTTCCCATACTCCTCCGAAACGGCTTGACCGATTCTCATGAAATTTTGTGAGCGTATTGAGTAGGTCTGAGAATCGGCCAACATCTATTTTTCATCCCCCTAAATGTTAGGGGTAGTCCACCCCTAAATTTTATTTTTTTATTTTTTAGACAACATTTTTAGTTTATTTTTTTATGATACAACATACAAAAATACATACAATCGTAATTTTCACCCTTCTATCATCAACCTCTATTTTTTTATAGCGTTATTAATTTATACGGCAAAACAAACGTTTGCCGGGACAGCTAGTATATATATATATATATATATATATATATATATATATATATATATATATATATTGTTACACACAAAGTTGTGTTACAAACAGAGTCAATGGATCGAGTCTGTCACATAGCCGTTGATTACCAATGATTCTGGCTGATATGATGAGTTTGTTCCTCTTTGTAATGTACGTACATCCACTGGGTTGGCTCCATCACTGACACTAGGGTCTATGTTCTGGTCTCCAAGCCTAACGATGACAGGCTCAGGGTCCTTCGCTCGAAGATTTCGGGTGCAGTGGCCGGCTGTCAGCACGAACCGAGGACTGATGAGGCTTCCACCACAGCTGAAGTTGTAGCCGTCGTCGAAGTTTGTGAAACCTATTGCTGCCTAAACATTTAAATTAATGAAGACATTTTGATTTTATGTGATTTCATTGCACTAGTAAATAATACGAATATATAAAATTCCATGTCGTTTAGTGTTCAATATTCTCTTATATAAATATATTATTATACTAGCCGTTACCGCGACTTCGTCCGCGTGGATATATATATATTAACTTTATTTGTCTAAAATAAAAGTAGCCTAAGTTACTCGTTAGAACATCAGCTACCTGCCAAAAAAAGTCTTATCAAAATTTGTCCAACCAGCCATTTCCAAGATTAGCCGAAACAAACAGACAGACAGACGAAAATTGTAAAAAATGTTATTTTATTCATATACATGTAGTAAAAAATGATTATTTCAATATTACAAACAGAGTGTGTAATTTCTATATAAGTGTAACTGGCAGCCTATAAATATGTGCGTTGCCAAATTCGTAAAAACATAATAAAAAAGAAAGTTAAAAAAGAATAAAATTCAAAAATTAACACAGACATTAACGCAACATTGTATTTTTTTTTTCATAAACAATAATTAAATATCTATCAACCATCCCTCAAATTCTCGATCAGGTTTAACACAGAGGCTCCAATTTTATTTATATGTATAAATGAAATTTCGTTTAAACAGAAATTGCGGGAATATTATTTAAATTTGTAACTTTTTTTACTGTCTTTCTACCTTTTACACATCTTTCTGTTATTTCCCTATAGCTCTCTCTATATTTATATATATATATTTTCTTACTTTCAACTTGAGGCTCTACTTATAATTTGATTATCAGATAATTATGTATTTATTTATATATAATATTTATATATTTATGTTTATATTTATACATTTATTTATGTATGTTTATTATTATTATTAATTTTTATTGAAATTTATATTTAAAATATTTTGCTTTATATTTATATATATCTTTTTTTTTTTTTTTTAACATTACTCATTTATATTAGTGCACCGCCAACAATCTTTCTCTGCACCACTCATGGTTGACTGGTAGATAACGCCGCATGGTGTTAAGTCCGCCATATGTACACATTGTTTTTGTGCATTAAAGTTAAATAAATAAAAAAATAAAAATAAAAAATAAATGACTTACCATATGCGGAAACTCCCCTTGGTCAGCGTTCTCACCCCCAACAATGAGTTCCACTCCTGAATACTTGCATTTTAGTAAAGATATAGATATCATCTCAGGGTTTGTCATTAACGTTATAAAATCGATCTTCTCTGTCACACCTCGGCTGTACTGCTCACACTCTAGAAACAGAAGCTTTTTTTTAATTATTAATTTTTTTAATTAATTTTGGTACAACCAGTCATTACATATAATCTATACATGTAAATAAAATTGAACTGTCTGTTTGTAATATTGAAATAAACGTTTTTTACTAGATGTGTTGAAAATTATGTTTAAATAGCTGTCGCCGCGACTTCGTTCGCGTGGAATTAAATTTTAATATTCTAAAATAGAAGCATTTTTTTAAAATAATAGTAGCTTAAGTTACTCCTTATTACATCAGCTACCTGCAAATGAAAGTTACGTCAAAATCGGTTCAGCCATTTCAGAGAACAGCCGCAACAAACAGACAGACAGACAAAAATGGTAAAAAATGTTATTTTGGTGTATGTACAGTATTTATATTCATATGCATGTAGTAAAAAAGGATTATTTCAATATTACAAACAGACACTCCAATTTTATTTATATGTATAGATTATTTATTTATTTACGTCACACTAAGTGAGCTTTACAGTCTGCCAATATGTCCACTTAGGAAGATTGTATACAAATACACACAGTTACAAACTACTTACTAATACATACACACTTATTACACGAGGAAACAAAAGAAAAAAAATACCTAATCTTAATTTTACATACTACATAAATAGTCCACTGGCCTCCTACGAAACTCATCATGTGACACCCATGATACCAGTTAAAGTTGTGCCAACTCGAGTTACTAACTCTAGTTGCAGTGAATTCGAGCTGAATTCTGCCAACTCGAGTTGGAAGAATTCAACTGGTAAATGAATGAATCAAGTGAAAGAGCGAGAACATGATTCTGTCGTCGAACTGACAATGACATGAAATTTTCCCATCATTTCATCTCATACAATTTTCAAATAATATCTAATCTTAATTTTACATACTACATAAATAATATACTTCCATCCTACGAAACTCCAGCGAAGTACAAGTAAATATGTCTATTATATATTTTGTTAGCGATTTTATTACTCACTTCGTTCGCTAACTCTCCTTGTGTCTGTACCGACGCTCGAAATTGGTGGACCACTGAAAGATGATTAGCATATCATTAGCAGATTGCATTGCCATCTCAACATACGCATTCCATTAGCATGTAGTCCCCTTTCATTCGATGCTAGAAGCGTAGCGTGGCTTGGCGGAGCCCCGTATAAAAATTTGTTTCGGGGCCCTTACGATGGGTAAAGATTTCTCACAAAAGAAACAAAACTGCATAAAATTTGAATAAAGAATAAGAATAGAAAATCATTTATTCAAATAACTTACATTGAAGCACTTTTGAATAGTCATTACATTTTTTTAATCTACCGCTCATTCGGAAAGCTGTCTCATCACAATATATAAAATTTTCACAGTCTTTATAGATGTTGCCGTAAAGTGAACGACATTTTACTGAAAAAACAAGTCAATGAAATTTCTTACGGATTATGAATTATTAATAATTTAATTAAAAATACTAGCGGCCACATTTTGATAGGCAACCTGGTAGATATAAATTCTCCTAATGATAAATATGTGTAAAAATTTGGTTTTCAGCAAACACTCGATGGGTACACTGATTCTGCAGCGGGATCTCGGACTACAAGAAGAACGAGCAAGAAATTTGCGTGTTGCTCTTTTAAATAATTTTATTATTACTTTACATTTTTAAGTTTAAGTGTGTGAATACAAACCACCAATTAGCACTAATTCAATTAAATACTCAAATAGAAAAAAATATTGAATATATAACCAACTGGTTAAAGAATTAATAAGAGGAAATCAGTCATAGTGATTAGAGCAGACCAGTCCCTACAAGCAGCACCCGTTCACGAGTGTGCCGGATGAGCCAGCCATCATTGCACTCAACCATATTAGAGGGAACACATCGACCCGGCCCACCACGCCGCCACAAGTTTGAACTTTATAGCGAGCATGACTGTTTCAAGTTACTCCACTACGTCATTTATACTATTTACAGCATAAACTGTACCAATCACAGTTTTCACCCATTACAATATTCTCTCTCTCTCTTGTGAAGACTGGTCTGTTCGGGTTACGAACACTGATTAGACTATTTGCTTTTGCAATAGCAATATAGATAATAATAATAATAATAATAATAATAATAATAATAATAATAATAATCTCAGGACAATTCACACAGCGCCATCTAGACCCAAGTTAAGCTAGCTAAAGCTTGTGTTATGGGTACTAGACAACTGATACAAATACATAGATAATTTTTTTTTGTAAATACATACATATTATACGTAGAAAATACCCAGACCGATACAAACAATCATACTCATGAATACAAATGTTTGTGTCGTGCGAGGAATCGAACCCGCGACCATCGGTCGTAAAGCGGTGTGCTAGACCGCTAGACCACCGAGGTCGTCAATAGATAGCTCTCAAATTTGAATTTAAAAATGAATCTGTATTATTGTAAACATGTACAACATTTATTTGAAAAGAATATGAGCTGAGTTTCTTGTCAGTTCTTCTCATCTCGAAATCATTCCGAATTGACGGTAGATTTGACATATCATGAGAGTCTGTAATAAACCTACATGAAAAAAAATATTTTGTGTTTTTAAAACTGAATTTGATCTGTCTCTTTTCTTTAGCCCTTTGCGGTACTTTTTCATTATTTATTTCATCTTGCCAACTCTAGAATACATTGGCTTTGCGGCGAGATAATGCATCTCTGTGCATTTTTTACCGCATTTGTCACGGGGAGTGTTCTGAGGAATTGTTCGGATTAATACCAGCTGCTGAGTTTCACCACCGTATCACCCGCTTGAAACTGAAATACCATCCTGATCATCTGGATGAATGGCGGTCCTCCACAGTGCGGTTTTCTAGAAACTTTTTGCCACGCACAATCACATTGTGGAATCACCTTCCAGCAATGGTATTTCCGAACCGATACGATATTGAAACCTTCAAGAAAAGAGCTTATTCCTTTTTAAAAGGCCGACAACGTACTTGCAATTCCCCTGGTGTTGCGGGTGCTCATGGGCGGCGGTATTCACTTACCATCAGGTGAGCCGCATGCTCGTTTGTCCCCTTTGTTATAAGTAAAAAAAAACATTGATAAAATTAACTTACTCGCTGTTTGGCGGTGTTGACGCTTGCAAGATATTGGAGTTATCTTTACAACATATGAATGGATTCCCGAAGACACTGTATTTGCAAAATGTAGGGATTGTACCGTTCTTTCTGGAAACAAAACACATCTTAATTGATTAACGAGAAAACAATCCTGATTTCATATAAACCTTCATCTACAATCACTTATGTCTCATCCGTCATACTCGTGAACGAGTGCTGCTTGGCCTCACTATGACTAATTTAATATTATTGTGTATTTATATTTAACCCTAATAAATTAGTGCTAAATGGTAGTTTGTATTCACACGTTTCGACTCGTAAAAGTGAACTTACAAGGATTATTTAAAAGAGCAACACACAAGTTTCTTGTTCGTTCTTCTTGTTATGAAACAGCTTTCCGAATAAGCGGTAGATTTAAAAAAAATATTGTTATGACTTCTTTAAAAAAAATTATTGTTATTCTATTCTATTCTTAAAATCCGTTGCGTTGTTTAAAAGATCTAAGCGGCCGGACCGGGGAAAAGATTTCATTTTATACTATGTAAATATACATTATTCATATTATTAACCGGGTCTTAACACGACAAATTTTATGGCAAATAAAGGTATTTACCTCTCTCGACGTTTCGACCAGGTTGCACTAGCCGTGTTAAGATCCGGTTAATAATCTTATATATAAAATTCTCGTGTCACAGTTTTCGTTCCCATACTCCTCCGAAACGGCTTGTCCGAACCGATTCTCATGAAATTTTGTGAGCGTATTGAGTAGGTCTGAGAATCGGAAATATTATATTAAAAAAGAAGAAATTGTATATTAAACACGAAAGTTTAAATATAAATATATAAATATATTTGATTATTTAATTTGTCTAGAAAATTACTCTTTTATCAGCAATGTTCTTATTTAACTTGATGGTCTAGTCGTTTAAATAGAAACATGCCATTTTTCAATATTAGAAGCTAGAATTGCCTACTTTTATATAAGTCAATTAAATCAACCACGCTGTCTTAATCATTATCTAAATACTTCTAAAATTATATATACCTAATAGTTCTGTGTAAATTTAAAACTTTAAAGGAAAATATAATTTAAATAAATAAAAAAACAACTTTAAATGTTTGTCATGTAAAAAAGTGTACATTTTGGATACTGCCATTTTTTATTTAACCGATATATTTAAAACTAAATTGTGACATGGAACATTGAACAACTCACTGAAAGTCTTCTTTGGCTGATCTGCATCTGTCTGCGGGAGTGCATATTCCTTGAAAGTTGGTGTATTTGTCTACGCAGGAGTCACCCTCTGTTGGTCAAATATAAATGAATTATTTACCAGAGGTACAGTTCGTACCAGGGTTCACGCGATATATATCATCGATTGATTTTTTTCTGTCTTCTGAACTAAAAATTTTGGAGATTAATGGTTACTCTAAAATCCTTTCACATTTTTAAGACTATTGCTATTGAGCAAAAATAATATATGCATGGTGACTAGGGCCCTCACTGGACACTGCAAATAGAACAAATATATCGCAAACCTAAGCATGTACTCAACAAAAAACTGCAGTTGCTTGTTGCACTTGATGGAACTTTACAGTAATCCTTACTGATCTAAATATATATAACTCAAAGGTGACTGACTGACAGTGATCTATCAACGCACAGCCCAAACCACTGGACGGATCGGGCTGAAATTTGATTTGCAGGCAGATGTTATGACCTAGGCATCCGCTAAGAAAGGATTTTGATTAATTCTACCTACAAGGGGATAAAATAGGGGATGAAAGTTTGTATGAAACTTTGTCTATTTTAAACCGATCGGGCTGAGACTTTGCATTCAAAAATCTACTATATTGTAGGCATCCCCTAAGAAAGGATTTTGATAAATTCCATCTCTAAGGGGATAAATTAACGCGAGCGAAGCCGTGGTCAAAAGCTAGTATTATATATGCTAAATGCAAAAATAACCCTGTTTGTCTGTGTGTCTGTCTCGCTTTCACTTCAAAACTACTGAACTGATTTAAATGTAATTTAGTACACAGATAGTCTAAACCATGAGAAAGGACATAGTCTACTTTTTAATCCGAAAAAAGGGTTGTAAGGGGTTGAAAGGGGAGCTGAAAGTTTGTATAGAAATTCATCATTTTTAAAGCTAGTAGCTTGAAACTTATTTTTAGGCTGTTTATAAATTATAATAAATAAATAATAAATATATATAAATAATAAATAATCTCAGAACAACTCACACAGCGCCATCTAGACCCAAGTTAAGCTAGCTGAAGCTTGTGTTATGGGTACTAGACAACTGATACAAATACATGGACATTTTTTTTTGTAAATACATACATATTATACGTAGAAAACACCCAGACCGATACAAACAATCATACTCATGAATACAAATGTTTGTGCCGTGCGAGAAATCTAATTTGAATTTTGAAAAGTGATATTGAAATAACCGTTTTTACTACATACATATGAATATAAATACAGTATATACACCAAAATAACATGTTTACAATTTTTTTTCTGTCTGTCTCTTTGTTCTGGCTAATCTCTGAAATGGCTGACCGATTTTGAGGTGACTTATTTTTGGCAGGTAGCTGATGTAATAAGTAGTAACTTAGGCCACTTTTATTTTAGAAAAATAAAGTTAAATTCCACGCGGACGAAGTCGCGGGTATACAGTATGCATGTATATATTGCATGTATGTATATATTATGCAGTCTCATCTATAAATACACCTGACTGAATTAAAACTTTTTACTCTATGTTTTACTAGCTATGCCCGCGGCTTCGATCACGTGAAATTTATAGGTCTGATGTATAAGCTATATTACTCTAAAGCAGTGATTCCCAAAGTGGTCTATATCGACACCCAGGGGTCTACGACAAACTGCAAGAGGTCTACGACAGCGATCATCT